CATAGCAAAAGAAACTATCAAGAAAATGAAAAGAGAACCCATTAAATGGGAGAATATATTCACCAATGATAAATCTGATAAGGGGTTAATATCCAAAATATACAAAGAACTTATACAACTCAACACCAATAAAAGAATCCTATTTGAAAAATGGGCAAAAAACTTAATAAACCCTTCTCCCATGAGGAGTTGGCCAATAGACATATGAAAAGATGCTCAAGGTACTAATCATCAGAGAAATGCAAATTCAAACCACAATGAGGTACCATATCACACCTGTCAGAATAGCTATCAATAAATCAACAAAAAACAAGTGTTGATGAGGATGTGGAGAAAAGGGAACCCTCATGCTCTGTTGGTGGAAATTCACACTGATGCAACCACTGTAAAAAAAGTATGGAATTTCCTCAAAAAATTTAAAAATAGAACTTCCTGATAATCCAGTGATTCCACTTTTGGTAGTATATATGAAGAAACCCAAAACACTGATTTAAAAGAATATATGTACCCCTATGTGCATTGCAGCCCAAGTGCCCATTAGTAGGTGAGTGGATAAAATAGCTGCAGTACATTCACACGGTGGAATACTACTTGGCTGTAGAAAAGACAGACTTTTCACATTTTGTGATAGCACGGATGGATCTAGAGAGTACTGAGCTAAGTGAAATAAGCTAGTCAGAGAAAGACAAATATCATGCTATTTCACTTACATGGGGAATCTAATGAAGAGAATAAACAAACAAACAAAATATAAATAGGCTAATAAAGAACAGACTGACAGCTGTTTGATGAAAGAGATTTGGAGAGCTGTATGAAAAAGGGTGAAAAAATTAAGCCAATAAAATAAAAAATATAGAAACAGACAACAGTATAACAATTAGGAGAGGGAAAGGAGTGGTGGGAGCTAGAAGAGGGGGCATAAATGGTAACAGAAGGAGGCTTGACTATGGGTGGTGAACACACAACACAATCTACAGATGACGTGTTATACAATTGTTCACCTGAACTATATAATTTATTGAGTCACCCAATATATTCAATAAATATAAATAAGTAAGGTCTGTGTTGAGTGCAGATAGGTATCAGAAACTGATAAGAATAGATAACTTTCTGAACAAAGTTTTTGATGGAGTGTTGTCTGTGCAGAGGAGCCAATTATAGAAATTTACCTGGTAATTATTTCTTTGACCTGAAGAGGTCACTGCTTCCATTCATTGACAAGAGTAAAGTTGCAAAAGACTGTCTGGTATTGAGAAAATGGCTAACACATACTAAACAACTGAGGGGGGGAACCCTCCTTTCTCAGTGAGATTTCCACGCTCCAGGATCAAATCCTCCATGGGTTTGGGAAGGCCAAAGCATGAAGGAGCTTCTAAGAGCCACATTTCTGATCTGGTGGCCAGAAGTGAGCTAGTAGAGTTTATGTCATCAGGAACCCAGAGGACTGAGAAGATTCCAAGAACTAATCTTTATCTTTTATAGAACAGACTCAAAGAATAAATATAATTTTTAGTTCACTCTTAACATCTTTTAAAAAATTAGCCATAGAAGGATGAAAGAAGAAATCCTTCCTGACTGACCATCCAATAAGGAAAAAATTTTACTATCTAATATACTTATTTGAACAGTGTTTCAGATCCCTGGGTACAGGATGAAAAGGATGTTGGATAAATCTGGTGCCTTTGTATAGTCCAAGGGACAGTTAGCAGCCTCTTTCCATGTTAGTCCCAGCTCCTCCACTCCTGTACACTTAAGACCAACCAGCCAAGCCCTGGCTGCTGTGGCTCAGTGGATTGAGCACCGGCCTGTGAACCAAAGGATGGCCAGTTCAATTCCAAGTCAGGGCACATGCCTGGATTGCAGGCCAGGTCCCTAGCAGGGGTTGCACAAAAGGCAACCACACACTGATGTTTCTCTCCCTCTCTCCCTCCCTTCTCTTCTCTAAAAACATAAATAAAATCTTTAAGAAAAAGAAAAGCAATTTAAAAAAAGACCACCCAGTCAACAGACTCAGCCACCTACCTCTGTATCAGAGGAAACCCACGTCACCCAGAGATCCCCCAAGTGCACTGGACCCCACTCTGTGCATGAGGATTCCCAGCCAAAAGTGTGTGAACAATGTCCACCACCTCTGACAAGGCAAAGTATACATGAATATAGTGAACATAAGTAAAACTTTTTAAAAAGACTTTTAAAAGTTGTTGTTCACTGTACACTCAGGAAAAGAATTAAGAGAATAGCAATGCTAAATGTGAGATGCCTGGGGTGACTAGGACTGGGAACCCTCAGTGTTCTTGAGTCGAGTTCCTCCTGACTAAGAGGGAATTTCTTGACACCTGGAATAGCTTCTCCCACTTGTGCCTTAGCTTCTGCCTCCGTGAAAACTGTTCCATGAGAACACCAGAGTAGACATGTGATGTTCACATGTTTTTATTCTAGTTTTTGCTTGATGCAGTCTAACCAATGAAGTCCTATGAGAAATCCTATGACACTGCTCATATTTCAAGGAAACAGTGGAATCTCTCAGACTTCACAGATGGGACACTGCTTTCTCCTCCTATCTTTTATTGTCTTTCTTCACCCATATAATTTTCTTAATATCCTGTCATCTGACTTTGCCCACCACCTTTTACAGTCTATCTAAACACCCCAACCCAAGAAACCACTTTTATTTAAAATGACAAAATTTAAAAAAATAACTATCATCTGGACATAATATTTTTTAAAGTCAAAGAAAAATACAGCATTGTACCCACTGCATGTTTGCTTATTAAAAGTTCTTTTATATATATCATCTTGTTTGATTCTCAGACTCCAACAACCTGATTAACCGTCCGAAGGAGCTAGGGACTGATTGGATGATGGATGTAAGACAGCAATTTTCAACCTTTTTCATCTCCTAGCACAAACTACTAAAGCATAAACTATTAAAGCATAAACTACTAAAATCCTGTGGCACACCAAAATCTACATTATTTTTTTCTGATCTGACAAAAAATGAGTATAATTTTTATTCATTCACATCAAATGTGAATGGCTGTTGTCATTTTTTTAACTTGACAATCTAAGGGAAAAGAGTTCAGTAGCCCTGACTAAATAGTCAGGTATTGCACAACTTAAAAATTCTAGCTGCACACTGGTTGAAAATCACTGATATAAGACACCGAAGTTGGGTTGGCTGCGCCCAAAGGACCAGGGATTGATCTGAAACAGCAGGGTGGACCCTCTGGCTGAGGATCCCTGACTGCATTGCAGGCACATTGAATGCAGGCAAGAGGGAGGGAACATTTACTTCTGAGGGACTCCTTTGTGAAATTACAGCTTCAGCTGGACTGAGATTGATAGAAAAAAACAAATTAGTCATCTAGATTTTCCTATAAAAACTGAAGAAGAGAGGGGAAAATGATAAAGTAATAACAATTTTACCAATTTCATGTAACTCTCACAAGAAAATGGTAGACATGACAGAATTTTTTAATCCTCCCCCAAGGATATGTGGATGGATTTTAGAGAGAGGGGAAGGATGAGAGAGAGAGAGAAACATTAATCTGTTGTCCCAAATACATGTCCTAACCAAAGTTCAAACCCACAACCTAGCTATAAGCCCTGATCAGGGACTGAACTCACAACCTTTTGGTGCACAGGACAACACTCCAACCAACTGAGCAACCTTACCAGGGAACATGGCATCAATTCAATGACTGAGCAAACAAGCAAAAGAACTATGCCATCTATAGCAACTCACCGAGGTATACTTTAAGAAGTCCTCTGGAGTTAAGAACATATGTGGTCTATGGAAAAATGCCTATTGCTTACCTGTTCTCCAAATGGAAATAATAAACAGGTTGGGAAAGTTTAGGCCACCACTCCCTATATGACAAATCAGCTTTGTATTTAGTCTTTTCTGCTTCTTTTATGCAGAGGAAAAATACTGTCCAATAAAGATGGACCATAGAGATGTCCTTACCTAAGCCTGCATGACACAAACTCAGTAGAAAGAGAACATTAATGCAGGTGAGACTAGTGGTTTTTTGCATTGTGAGCTTTCATTTTTGCACAATTGACTCTTCTATGATATGAGAACTATAATTCCTGACCTTTCTTCTCTCATAGGAGAATGTACCCATGAGGAAAAATAAGGTGCCAGTGAATCTCTGTCAGATATGTCACATACAATGTTCCCAAATAAATTTTAAATTAATTGTTCTGATTCTTCATTCATGAGCCATGAAGAGGTGTGCCACAGAGTTCTCACAGGAACGTTTACCAGTAGTACTGTACAGTTGTTGAGCTCCCTGACCCAGCCAAAGCCAAGTATCCTTTGAAAATTTTTTTAATGTTTTCAAGCCAGTAGCAGTGCAATTAGATATCAAAATTCTGGTTCCAGTTTTATCCAGAGTGAGTTTTGCTGTTGTATTTCTCATTGTTTTGAAGTATTGAGAAATTATTAAAATAAAGAATTGGTCGAAGAATAGTAGTATAATCAAAACCTGTGTAATGGAAACACAGAGACCATGATGATATTGGCTTTAAGATGAGAGAGAAAGAGGAAGGAAAGGAGAAAGATGGAAGGAAGGAAGGAAGGAAGGAAGGAAGGAAGGAAGGAAGGAAGGAAGGAAGGAAGGAAGGAAGGAAGGAAGGAAGGAAGGAAAAACTTACAAAGAAAACCTAGTTGCTTACATTTGGTTTTGTCTTTTTCCTGCCCATCCAATTCTCCTCTCCAAAATTACATTTCTGTGAAACAATTTACTGGCTCCTTGTCTTGATTTTTACCCCAGAAAAAATTACAGCTCTAACATCTTTTTTCACTTGGTGGTATAGACAAACTTTTATTCTCTGAAGCAAAAGACAAAAGGCACTGATAAACTATTTTAAGCAAAACGAAGTCAGAGGCCCACCTGACATTCCGCTTCCTGTTCTGACTCAGTGATGTCACTGAGTACAGCTGATACCAGGTTTCAGATGAGAGCAAGATATTTTTTCTCCCTGCAGAAGAGAGGCGCCAGCATGGCAGGCACTGGGTTGCTGTGGGTGTTCGTGGTCTCCACCTGTCTTGGTAAGGAATTCATATGTATTTGTTTCCTGAGTACGCAGTAAGCCTGTAAAGTCAGTAAAGAGATTAATAAGACAGAGAACTTACCTCCTCATTGGTACCAGCTATTGGAAGCAAAAAGCCTGAATGATTCTGCCAGGAGTTTAGATTAAGAGGAGGAAAGCAGGTGGGGATGGGAACCAGCTCTGAGTCTGCCTGCTCTGTCTGTCTGCTGTCACACCCAGTGCAGTCATTCCTTTCTGCCTTCCTTCCCACAGGATCCAGTGTGGCCCAGAAGGTCAATCAGCCTCAGCCAGAAATGTCTGTGCAGGAGGCAGAGACTGTGACCCTGGCCTGTACATATGACACTACTGTGAGTGATTTTTATTTGTTCTGGTACAAACAGCCTCCCAGTGGGGAGATGATTCTCATTATCCGCCAAGAAGCTTTTAAGAAACAAAATGCAACGAATAATCGCTTCTCTGCGAACTTCCATAAAGAAAGCAAATACTTTGGCCTCAGGATCTCAGACTCCCGGCTGGAGGATGCAGCGATGTATTTCTGTGCTCTGTCAGAGGCACAGTGAGATGAGTGACAGGGGGAGGCGTACAGAAACCTCAGACCTCAGTGCCTGTGTCAGGTATAACAGGAACACAGAGAGGAAATCATTGACTGCTCTGGAGAAAAGAAATACTAATCTGTCTGACTATAGGGAACATAGACACAATATTTATAAGCTATAATGCTCAAGATAATAAAGAAAATACTGAATGCACACAATGCTTTACAGGTTTGCACATGACCTTCACGTGCATTTGCTTCATTTAACCCCCACAACTCCATGTGTTAACAGGACAGTCAGATACTGTGTCACAGCTATCCAGTGACTGTCATAGCTTGACCTAAAGCTACTTCCTAGAATCACATCTTAACCTTTTCACAGTGTAAATCACTCTCATTACTATCCACCTGCGTGTGTCACCATCACATTGGAGTCACCATATCCAAAATTGAATTTTTTATCTTTTCCACAATTATTTTTTCTTTATTTTTCTCTCTCCAGCCTTACTTGGGAGTACAATAAAATCTGCTGCTGTTGAGTTTGTAGAATTTCTCCACCCTCTACCTCTCAGCCTAGGTTATCTAATTTTTTGGTATAGATCTTATTTCTTTCTAATTACTAAGCAATGTGAAAACTCTATCAAATCCATCTGTCTGTCTCCCAATTTATCCATCAGTCTTTCTTATTGACTTTCATCTAATTTTATCCTGTGTATCTTAAATTTCCTTAATGCACCATTTGTCTTATCTAAAAAGATGAGAAAAAAAGAACGAACAACTGTCAGGTAGCATTTCATGTGCTGCTGGGACTCAGCCCCTGACAGGCACACTCTGGCAATGCTGTGCTTGCTTCTGCTGAGGCAACCATTTGAAAGGACTGGAGAGGCCACAGGGAACCAAAGGCAGATTGTTAAATAACTTTTAAAAAGCATTCATAAGAATAGCTTGTCATCTCTCAATTATTAGTACTGACACAAGAGATTTAGTACCCAGACTGGAACTAGAACCACAGCTGGTGCCATGCAAAGGACATCCCATATCTCCTGCGGCTTCTCTATGTCCTCCTTGAAAGCTTCTATTGCCTGCCATAGGCCCACACCCTCAGAGCTTTGGGCCATCCTCTTAGTTCCCTTAAACAACTTGGAGCCATCTGGAACTCTCCCATTTAGTTTTAGATGCCACAGCCCAGGGTAAGGTAGGCCTCCAGTTCCCTAAATCCCATCTATCCCCACCACTCACTCTAAACACACCCCTTCCAACCATAGTTCCTAGATACCATGCTCCAGCCCAGGCTTTAGTACCTTAGGCTCTTGTTTGTCTTCAAAAGTGGATTAGACACCAAATCCATTATTAATAGTAATTAATATTGTCATTACCAATATTGTATTGGCAGTAATAATAGTAGTAGTGGCTAACATACTGAGTATGTGGATGTGCCCAACATTTTGATAGATGCATAACATGTATCATTTCATTTAGTAGTTTCAAGAAATCTATGCTGTAGGTACTATTGATATCCCATTTTTACACGAGGAACTTAAAGCTCAAAAATGTTAACTTACCTAGGATCACACACTGTACGCATAGCTTAGTAATCAAGAGACCCTGTTCTGCCCCAAAGAGTGGCAAAATGCTGCAGCCTCTCAATGCCGTTTATTTGATAGACACAGATTACAAGAAAGACACACATGAAAATAAGGCTGTACTGAGCACTTACAGCCTGTTCTCACTTTTTCTAGGGTGGTAGTTGCATATAACTGATTTTATTTATCATTATTAAAGTCCGAAGTAAAATCGACACTGTTACCATTATTGATTTTTTTTACATAGGGAATTTGTGCCTTTTTAACATCAGTTTGTAATTATTTGGTTTGTGACTGTCCAATATTTTAACCTTCTCCAATATATTTTCCAATAATACTTCAACTTTAAAATACACTTTTTGGCCGGTGTTAACAAATGTCCCAAGCATCATGGTATGTAACTCAATGAAGAATTCAGGAGTTTAAAAGAAATGTATGACCTTTCCAAATTATCAGAGGAAAATTCTTTTGGGGAGAACTTCTTAAACTTTTTTTTCATATGGCTGAGTGTTGCTATCAATGCTATTTTCCGATTTTTTCCTACAGCGAAAAACTAACATATTCTGAATACTCTTCCACACCAATGAATAGTTAGTTGGTCCATACATAAGTTCCCAGAGTTACATCTTTGGATATACATTAGTTTACTCAATAACTTTTGCAGGTGAGCATGGTAAGTATATTGTTATTATAAGTAAAATTGTGAAATAAAAAATGTTTTTTACATAAATCTGTGTACAAATAAGAGAACATGTATCAAAGTAACTGAAGGAAAAAAGCCCACAAAATATTGTTGCTAAAAAAAATCTGAAAAACCAGATTACGTTTTTAGGAAGGGTTGGGTCCAAATGTTCAAATAATGTCACCCATACTTTGCTTCTTACTAATATGCTTTGCTAACACATGTACCCTGCTTCGGTATTTACAAACAAAACCAGCAGCAGGGAGCTTTTATGCTCTCTCTCTCTTGAGCTCCTGGTCTCACTTCTCTTTGGCAGCCTAATTCTCTCTGCAGCACCTGGAATCAGCACTTTTCATTGACTGCAGCAACAGATGTTTAAACATCCTTTGACAGAAGGAAACGCTTGCAGCTTTTTGGTGAAGTTGAGGGAGACAACTTCCTTTACAGTATCTCAGAATTACACCATTTGATAATTGCATGCATGGAACATCTGCAAATTCAGAAAAGTGAGTGGTATCAGAGTTAAAAGTCTTTTGTTCTGTTTTTCTTCATTTGGATTCAAATTTAAGGGAAAACTTTTGAGAAGTTGCATGAATTTCAATGACTGATATTTTCCACCAGTCTGTAGAAGATACAAATTTAAAGAATGGTTAGAAGATTGAACATAAACATACATTAACAGTAACTCTGCATTACCATCAAAGTGTGTTCATGTTTGTAGACCAACCAATACATTACATGAATGGCAGTCAGACTTTGGGAAATTATAAAACCTTCACACATTTTAAGATAACATTTATAAATTCTAATGTATTATAAATATTGACATTTTCACATAAAAGTTATATAGCTCTGACTGGTGTGGCTCAGTGGATTGAGTGCTGGCCTGCAAAATGAAATGTCGCCAATTTGATTCCCATTCAGGGCACGTGCCAGGTCCCCAGTTGGGGGCATGTGAGAGGCAACGTATGGATGTATCTATATCACACATTGATGTTTCTCTCCCTCTTCCTCCCTCCCTTCCTCTCTCTAGAAATAAATAAATAAAATCTTTTTTTAAAAAGTCATATAGTAACTTTTATATATATGCACTGAAATCTTTTTTAAAGATTTTATTTATTTTTAGAGAGAGGGGATGGGAAGGAGAAAGAGAGGGAGAGAAAGATCAACGTGCATGTGAGATACAGCTATCGTTTGCCTCTCACATGCCCCCAGTTCATGAGGGCATGTATCTCACACAACTGGAATGTGCCCTGACTGGGAATCAAATTGGTGACCTTTTGGTTCACAGGCCGGCACTCAATCCACTGAGCCACACCAGCCAGAGCTGTGCAATAAAATCTTAATACCAAAGTGATTTGATACCCATCAACATCCAATTAAAATTCATGCACAAACTTTTCGTTAACAATTGAAGATTTTATATTGCTTCTTTCTTTTCTTAAAATCATATTTTCATTCAACTTCTTCTGCAGAATTTAACATAATATATATTTTTTTAAAGTCTTTTATCGATCACCCAGGAAAGTCAGCAACAAAAATATTATACTTGAAAATGTTTCAACTTCCTCTGATCATACTGCTCTAATTGTTAGAAGTTATTTTTTCTGGATTCAGTTGTGACTATAATTATTATTAATGCACTTTTCATGAAAACAAATATAATTTTAAAGGTTTTTAATATAAAAGGCAAACATTTTTTGGAAATTACTTTCTTAATAAAATGACTGGAGTCAGATCTATAATTCTATGATTAAAGAAGGCTTCTCTGGCACCAATAAAAAGGAAGTACTCCTTTCCTTAATGCCCTAGAGGTTTTTAAATCTTTGCTTCAAAGAAGGATTCTTTGTTATGTAAATAACGTTGGAGAAGGACAGTTGTGAAATGAGATAGAGGAAATGAGAATCACAGTCAAGCTTTCAGGCAGATCATTTTTAGGAAAAGGTACAGGGGAGTTGAGGATCTAGAAACTAATTCCCTTAAAATGTACGTCTCTTTCCCAGTTTGAAGATTTCTGCATTAGACCTTTCACCATATTACTGATTCACTCTCTCCAGTCTGCATTCAGTAACGAGGGGTGAGGAAAATCAGCAGGAAATTTGAAGGACAGAAACTTAAGTTTCAATAAATCTGATAAGTTTTCTAAAACCTGTTTGACATTTCTGGCTTGAAGGAACAGCTGAGTTAGAATCTCTGGGGACTGAGCTCCTGATGACACTGTCATTTGAACTGTATCAGGAAAAGCAGTTTGAAATGCCATGGTCCTTCATTAATAACACTGTGAAAACAAAATCCCAGTCTGGGAAGAAAAATGATTCATGGTTGTTTATTTTTCCCTCCACCTTTCAAGAGTGTTTTCTAGTGAGGACTTACCTGAAACTCTTAGGAAATGTACCTTTGTTATTACAGCACATTTACCTAGCAATCCACAACAGAGAAAAGGCTTGCATGGCTTACACTTCCCTATGTTAGAGGTTAACCTAACAAAAATGGCAAAAGTGTCATGAGTTCACATCCTGAAAGAAAAATTCACCCCAAATTGTTTTTAGCAACTTTACCCATACTTTATTTAGTCGTTCGTACATTTATGTCTTTTTTGTAAGAACATATTAATAGCTCTCTCACTAAGAACTTTAATAAAACTTAGACACAGCCTCACTATTTAATATTAGAATTTTATTTTTAACATGTCTAAGTGTTGGAAACCACTCTGCCTGGTTTCAGGAGCTGAAACCCACCATGGCTAAGGCTGAGTGAGTG